TTATTTGAGAGAGAATGAGATAGAGAGAGAGAGAGCATGAGAGGGGGGAGGGTCAGAGGGAGAAGCAGACTCCCCGCTGAGCAAGGAGCCCGATGCGGGACTCAATCCTGGGACTCCAGGATCATGACCTGAGCCGAAGGCAGTCGCTTAACCAACTGAGCCACCCAGGCGCCCACATAGAACTTTTTCTAATCCAAAATTAGAGAGCCATAGCCAGTCATACTTCCTTTAATAAATGTGGGAGCTTGCTTAACCTAGGTTGGTGTCCATTTCCTTGTCCTAAGCCAGCTCAGAACCTTGACCTCTGATGCAAGGTTGGAGGCTGAAGATACCTAGATGGCAAACACAGATATCAGTTGTATTCTAAGTATGCTCTATGTGCATGGCCTCCCTGCTTGGCCCCTGCTGGGCTCTACAGCCTCATCCCTCCCTCAACTCCCTACTTCAAACTTCGGGCTCCACACTACCAAGCTTCTTGTACTTCTCTGAAAGCCCATGCCTTCTCACCTTCCTGCCCTTATTCATGCTGTTCCTCCTATTTGGAATACACTTTCTATTACCAAACCTCCTCATCCTTTGACATTTCAGGCATGACCAATTCCAACCCTTCCATGATTTCACCTACCTTCCTCAAGTGGAAATATGTCCCCCTCTCTTATGTGTTCCCATCACCTGGGTTTGTCTTTGTCACTGCTTTTAGCCATTTGTTATAAATCGTCTATCTCTGACCATTAACTCCTGGACAGAAGGTATCCTCCTTACCTTTATATAACCAAAACAGCACAGTTCCTGTCACATAGGCTGCATTCTGAGATAAATGAGCAATAGATGTTAGAAGAACAGAAAGGGGAATAAAACAGGACCCTTGTTCTCAAGAAACCTGCAATCCAATAGACAATTCAGATATAACTTTGACCATAAGACAGGGGAAAGTGACTAGTATTGAAAGAGGGCCTTGAGTGAAGAACAGGAAGCAATTAAGAACAAGTACCAGCCTCAGAGAACATATTGCCCACCCCACCCCTTCTTCTGCCCAATCCCTTGGGAGAGACCATGAAGACTGTGCTCTCATTGGAAAAGGGCATCAAACTGTGGGTTAAGTATTTTTGTTCACACTTTTGGGTTAAACACAGTTATGATCACCACAAGCCAAGGACTGAGCTCCCCTGTTCTGTATCATATTTAGGGTATGGAAAGAAAATTATCAGCCTATATTCTTTGTCTTACCCTTGGCTGGAAAACACCTCTTAGAGCCAAAACCAACCAGTTTGATGAGGATATTTGAAAAGTATGAAGACTGCTGACACCTGCTTTGAAAAGACAAGCCTTCAACATTACCGCTTTATATAACAGATAAGGGACAAGTTAGGAAAAAGTTAACAAATATTTGCTTGCTAATTACCATAGCACATAAGTTAAATCTCTGCTTATTCTTTATCATCATAAAGTTGGATTTCTGCTTAATGTTGTTTACTAAGAAAAGCAGACATTTCCTCTGATAGAGAAAATATTATTTTAATAGTTCCAAGGACTGTAGACTTATAACCTTGGAACAATAAATGTTTCATATAGAAATCTACATGATAGAATGCTTGCCACAGAAAACTACTCATTCACTTAAAGCTAAGCTATATTTATCATAATGGAGATTGATTTCACTCACCAAGCTTGTGATAATTAACCCACTAGCTGTGACCTCACTTATCTTGGTCTAATTAATTCAAGCAGTATAAGAGAATTGTACAGATTTTCTTAAACTAGGAACATGTAAATTATTTTACAGATAAAACAAAAGAAACTAGTGCACTAAGTTTACAACACAAAGCAGCCTCTTAATTAGCTATAAGGGAGGATAACTGTCCTTGAACACTCTTTCCTTGGCTTCGGTAACACAACACTCTGTTGGTCTTTCTCCTACTTCTTTGTTTCCTTTGCTGGTTCGTGTTCTTGACATAGTGGATGTCTACCCTTGGTCTTAGGTTCTTCTGTCTTCTAACTTTATATTCTCTCCATAGACATAGCAACCACTATTGTGAAGTTAAATATCATTTTTCACAGACAAATCTCCAATATAAATTCCCAGGCCAGTCTCTCTTCTGAATTCCAGATACATCTTTCTAACTACCTATCATCACTGCCACTAGGCACGTTTAGTCTGAGGAAACAGAGACATCTGTAATTTAATTCATGATCCATCCTCTATCAGCACCACCATCAAAGAAACTTAAGTCTCTTTCAGAATTCTCTCCATCAAATGTTACCCACTTAGGACCAGGACAGACCCCTAGGATCCTTAATACCACCTACCACCCCACATCTGACTTGTCATGAAAACCAGATGGGTTTATCCCCTATGTATTTCTCAAATCCATCTCTTATTTCTATTTCTAATCTTTTTACCCCAAATTACTCTAGCAGTCTCCCAATGGGTTTGCTCTAACCCATTATCATTGTGTCAAAGTGTAATCTTGTCATCATCTGTTTATGTCTCGCCACCCCCCCAAAAGAGCTTCCCAAGGCCACCACAATAAAGCACAAAAACCAAGATCTGGCCACAGTCCCTGCCTGCTCTGGCCGTACCAACCTCTTCTGTCTCATATTTCCCCACTCTTGTCCTCACTTTCCATACTGCAGCCATTGTGCCCAGGATTTTGTTCTCATCCCCTCTTTGCCTGACTACCTCCTATGCATCTCTCAGTCCTCAGCTTAAAAGTTTCCTTCTCAAGGAAGGTCTCTCACACCAGATCAGGTGTTTGACACTTTTCATTGCTCTCTCCATTTATAAATCTATTTATGTGCTACATGAAAGCAAGAACCTTGTCTTGCTCACAGTTTAATCCCTTTGGGCCTGGCCTATTGTAGGGACTTTACAGGTATTTGTTAAATGAATTGATGGAGAAGGGAAAGTGATAGCTTGGGGAAAAGGCTTAAACTGAGAAAATTCAAATTTCTAAGAAATTGAATCTTTCCTGAAACATATACATGGCCACCTGTACTGCCTCACTGGGTGAGATGAGAAAGAATTGGGGAAAATTTATCGGATTCCATGGGACCTACTGTTGTCTTCAGAAACCCCTTGCCCCTGAGGTCACCCTAAAGCTTTTAGACAATAGTGGAAGGGCGGAGCCTTTCTATAAGGCTTTAGAAATAAAACTTTTTAAAGGATTATTTTTGAAAAAAACCATGAGTGTTCTCCTGACTGATTTAAGTACATTTTAGGTTAAGAAATCAACACCAAAAGGGGGAACGTGAGGTGTCCAGTATCACAACATGGTGTAATGGTGTGATTCTTTCTCCATACACCACATAGTTTTATTCACTTCCTCACTCCTTCCTTCCCTAAACTTGGAATAGAGAAAAGATTCTAAACAAAGAGACTCCCAGAGTCCACATTCAACTTGGCAGGGACAAAGGAACACTTGAGTCAATCATCAGGGAGGTCAATTAACTTCTCTGGAGACCCTGGGAAACCCTTCTTGTCACTTATAGTGATAATACAGTGATGCTGTCAAGCCAGCCCATAGATTCAGGGGAAAAGTTTGTATTTAGAAACTACTTAAAAATTAATAAGTTCCACAAAGGGTTGACATTACAAATCAAGTACATTTGCCTGAATTAGAATAGTCCAGAAATAGAAATGGACCCCATGTACATAGTGGATAAAAGCCTTGGGATCCAGAGTGCTTGGTTCTGATCACAGCTCCATTACTGTGAGACTCTGGACAAATCACTTAATCCCTTGTTGCCTCAGTTTCATCATCTGCACACAGGGGGAAACAAAGGTACAGACTGCCCAAGATTGTTGGGAGAATGAAATGAGTTAATGTCTAAAGCATTTAGGATAGCTTAGATACATAATAAATGTTAGCTGTTATGTTCTGTTATTGTTGAACTCCCCATTACCAGAGGTGCCCAGGCCTAGATTTGATAGCCAACAGTCAGGGACATAACAAAGAGGATCTTGCCCTGTGTGGGGAATTCGATTCTAAGGCCCTTTCCAATGCTGAAATTCAAGAAGTCCACAAAAAACAAGTACTTTTATTCTGTTATTTCCTACCAGGTACTTTTTCCTATCTCTACAAGGGACTTACGGGAAGTCTCTGATCTTAAAAGCTCAGAAAATCGACAAACTCCCCACAGACAAAAGAGACCTAGAAATGCAGAGTTGGAGAAGTAGACAGAGGCCTGTCCCTATTCCTGGAAAGGCTCAGCACACCCACCATCCAGTGCCACCTGTCCCAGAACGAGACTTCAGAGCCAGCACCCCAAAAAGCTCTAGCCCTCCCAAGCGGAAGTACAAGGAGGACTGGATATTGCATGGAGAGAAATGCAGCAGAGACCATCTGAAGGATCACCCATGCCCAGGGGACTCCTCAGCTAAACTCTCATCCAGGGAATACCCGCTTCTGGGGCCTAGTAGGACAATGGCTTCGGGAGCCTACTCAAATGGACAGATTGATGAGTACAGGCCCTCAAGCAGGGGCAGTCATCGCCGATCCCAGAGTTCGCTGACCATATGAATGGCCTGCAGAAATCTGTACAAACTCAGAGGAAGCCACCCAATCAATGGCCTAATTAACCCCTGACTCTTCCTCTTCATGGAGGAAAGGACGTGCCAGATTTATTTGCTCCTAACCAGGCTTGACTTCCTTGGAGAAAATGCTGGCCCCAAGGGCTTTGACAAAGGACTGGAAACCAGTCAACCTCTACCTTTCTCCTGCTGCCAGGCAGCATATAATGCAAACAAAAATTTTATAAGGAAGCTATGTTTCTAATGCATTGAGTTTTAAAATTCTTTAGCCCAGAGACATTCTTGTGACCTTCCAAGTAAGTAGAACAAATGGCTAACACAACTGGGCCATAATTTTCCAAGATTCCAAGAGATATATCTACCCAGGCAATCTCTCAGGATTTGGAAGTTTCTGGGCTTGTCAAGCCATCACCTCATCTTATTGTGCCAAGAGTTAAAGTTTCAGAAGAGACCCATATACACAGGTACTTCTTCTTGAGTGTATTGCAGTGGTAATTATGTCAGGTTTAACATTTTCATTCATAGAGAATTGGTTGCTTCCTGTCTCTAAGCCAAAGAGAACCATATCTAAAGATTAGATTTGAACTCAGTGTCACAGATACTTTTGAAAATTGTAGATCCATAGCTAGTGTAAGAGTCAACAACAACGTAAGCATGCTAAAGCAAATGGGTGCACTGGAAATCCCAAGCTTTAGCTAATGGACCATATGTCCACAGTCTATACCAAGAGGATAAGAGCAGTACTCTTTTTTTTAAACTATTTATTTTTAAATAGAAGTACTCATCCTTATCCAGCTCTAAGACTTATAGACCTTAATACATCTGTACCCAGAATAAACCTGTATGATAGAGCAATTCTCAGCCCAAACAAGGACACCTCAAAGGATAGGGCCAATATTAAACCGTATCATTAAGCTTATCCCAGATTATTACCAGCTGGAAGACACTGGCCCATGCTTCAGTTACATTAGGGAGAGTCAGAGGAAGTCTCATTTCAGAGGTTAAAGGATTATGCAAACTTCTTATCCCTAGAGGTTACAAATGCCAAAATGTAAAAGTGCTCAAAACAGTGTTGAAATGAAAGAATGGATGATAGAATTCCAAGAAACTATCAAGAGAATTCAGGTCTATTATGGACAAGGATGGTGTATCTCTAGTCTTTAAGTCAGAGAAGGCTACTGAACCCTCTCCTCCTTAAGGTAGTACCTATATATTAAGCAAAATCCCTGTATATTAAGGATGGATGCAACATGTGTGACAAGTCTTTGAGCCTAAGAGTCATAGCCACCCCGCAATGTTGACTTATCACTTGAGTAACTTCTCAGCAAAGATGCACAAAAAGATCTCAACAATCAAATTGGCAAATGACAGACTGAGCTCATCCTCTGACCATCCTGCTGACAAACCTGAACTGGAGGGACCATTTGAAGCATTGTGTCCCTGGAAGCAACACACTGGATCTCTTTTACTGTCTATGCCACATAATGATGCCAATAATGGCCAACAGGATAATTCTACATGCTGATTGCTAGAGAAGGAGCAGGTGAACACAGCAGGCAGAGCAGTAATGATAGGAATTGTTCCAAATGAGTGGTTTGAGCCAAAACTTGGATCATGGGTTCCTCATGTTCCCCATTTGATTCCTGCCCACTCCTGCAAGCCATACTGAGAGAGTTAGGATGTTCCAGAGAAGAACAGAGTAGTGGGAAGAACACTGGCCTCAGGAGATCTGGGTTTGAGTCTTTGCTTCTGTACTCTCTAGGAGCCAGGAGCCTTGAAGCAAGATGCCATACCTGCAAATTAGGTTAAAACTGCTCTACCTTCCAGGCTTGGCATAAGGATCAAGTCAAAAATACACAGGGGATGTGCAAACCCTTTGAGAGCTGTAACACCCTCAGTAGTAACACAGGGATTTCTATTTCAGAGCTAAGGGGAAACAAGGTGATGGGAAACTTGTGAAAATGACCACTGTACCTAGATGCTAAACCATACCCAACATTGTGATGTTGCTCTCTTTCTCTTTCTTGCATGAGCAACCATCCCAGTTTGCCTGGGGTTTTCCGAGTTTTAGCACTGAAGGGCCCACATCCTAGGAAATCCCTCAGTCCTGGGCCACCTGAGACAGCTTGTCACCTACTCTTGCCTCCCTTTGAAACCAAACCAACTGTGACCATCCAACATGCCATCTTAAGGGAAAAGGTTATAACAACTTTTCCTATAACATGATGCTAATGATTGTACTTAGTACATTTTTATACATTTATGACCTTTTACTGATTGGAAATGAGTTATCCTTTATTAGAAAAAAATAAACATTGTTTTCCATAATTGCCTGCAGTTCTGAGTACCCTCTCATCCATCCATCCTTCTTTGCATTCATTCATTTATTCAGTAGTCTGTCCATCCATTTATCTATCCAATAAACTTCTGTTAAGCCCCTACTGGATGCCTGGTAATATGCTATGGACTTTGAGGAATTCAGTTCCTGTCTTTAAAGAAGCTCATACCTTGTCAGACATAGAGTGTCAGGAACATGTTTGATCCAACATGAGAGTGTGACACAAACCAAAATGGCTATAGGAATTAGAAGCAGCAGCACACCGTCTCCTCTGTCTGTAATTCTAACCTAGCTACTCTCCTCTTGCTGGAAGCCTGACACCAGCCTCAAACCCAGATTGATTCAGATGCCTCTTTTCACTCATTCAGAAAAGATCAAGTGGGTGCCTACTGCACAGCACTGTGTTAGGCAGCAAGGATAAAATAGGAGAGAAAACAGGCCCATCTCCTGCCCTCAAGGGATTTACAACCTAGAAGGGAAGACAGCCAATAATCAAGGAAATAGATATATGAGACAGTTGAACTCTGAGAAGAAAGAAGAATGGAAAAGAAGGGAGGAGTTGTTCCCAGGGTGATCAGAAAAGGCCTTTCCATGGAGGAGAGGAGACTTTAACCATGATAATACAGCAGGGAAGGGCTATTGCAGATGGAGAGAATTAACTATGAAAGCCCTGAAAAGGAAGAGTTTGGTATACAGAAGGAGGAGAAGAAGAAAAAAGAAAAGAAAGGTCAGGATGACTAGAATCCAAATAAAAAAGAGTAAGTGCCCCCATGATAACATTAATAGTAACAACCATACAAGCTCACTGTGTACTTAACACTAGACTAAGGGCACGTCATCATGTAAACCTCACAGCAACCCTCCAAAGTAGGTAATATTATGCTCTGCTATTTCAGTTAGCTTCTGCAACATACCAAACCACCACCACCCAAAATTTAGTGGACCAATACAATTACTTATGCACTCATGATTCTCTGTGCAATTTGAGATGAAATGGCTGGGATCTTCCATCTTCAAGAACGTCAACCAACATTGTCATATGACAGCAATGTTCTGGGAGTGAGAACAGAATCTACAAAGCCTCTTGAGACCTAAGCACAGAACTCACAGATCATCAATGCCACTACATTCTATCAAAGCAAATCACAAGGCCAGCCCAGTTTCAAGGGGGTGGGGAAAATACATTCCACCTTTAATGGGAGGATCTACAAAGAAATTTGAAGCCATTTGCAATCCATCACATCCCATTACAAAGGGAAAAACTGAGGCAGAGACAAGTCACATAATTATGGCACAGTCACACAATTAACAAGTGGGGAGGCAGCATTCAAGAGCCTGAAACTAGAGCCTATACTCTTAGCCACAAAGCTACACAACAGCAAGATGGGGCTGAAGGGGCAGGTAGGAACCAGATGACAGAGGCCTTTCTTCTGGAAAGAACCAGTCCAGTTCCTTCTCCACATTCTCCTGAGAAGCAAAGTAGTTCAGTACTTAGTGAGCTGGAATTCCACCCCAGCTCTGTCACAGACTGGCAATGTGACCCAGGGAGAGACCACACTGTGTTCAGCTGGGTTGCACACCCAGACAAAATCTTAAGAAAATACTAACAGCTAAAATGAACTGGAACTCATGCCTGCACTACCCTAAAATATCTTCCTGTTGAGCTGATCACCTGGCCAGAACATTCTATTCTGCCCTGAGAGCCCCCAAGAAATCAATCACACAGGACCAAATTCTCCCAGACAATCACAGAAGAGACAGCCCTTCCCTGTACTCCAACCCAGGCAAGATTTCACTGACAAAGAAGGTGGGGATTGTGAACTGGAGCAAGCAGGACTTTTGAGAGCATTATAAAAGGAGTCCTGCCCATCCAAACTTCAGGACTCCCACAGTGAGGATCTGGGCAATGTCAGACAGGAGCTGAGACTGGGAGCCTTTTTCTTCAAAGGTGTTCTGGTGCCACCTAGCAGCAGTGGGGGAGCTGCTGCTTCTGAGGACTTGCTACAGCTAGAGCAGGGAAAACAAGAATGGAAGGGGAACTGAGCCAGGAGTCAGGAGCCCAGATTTCCAGTCTGCTCTGCCAGTGGTGTCCATTGTGACTCTGGACAAATCCCTTCACCAGGTTTCAACCTCAAACTGAGGTTCTCTTGGCTTCCTCAAACACTCAATGTAGGAACTGGACTGGTTCTAATATTCTGTGGTTCTAAGAGCTATTTGGGGGATGTTACAGTGCAGGAATGCCCCTGTGCAACCAAAACCTTCAGTTTACTATTTGTGCACCTGTCTGATTCTCTATCATGCATGCACACGGTGGCAAATCCCATGAGGAAAAAACCCTGCAATCTTGTTCCCTGCTGTGTTCCAAGTGCTCAATACATGGCAGTGCTCAACAATGTTGTGACTCTGGCTGTTGAAGAAACTCATCGATGGGGGCTGGTCCGGAGTATAGCAGGCAGGAGGACAGCAACATTATTTGGGAAGACAATGAACCCCCCAAGCCTTTGCGAGGCCCCTGGTTGCCTTTCTCAGATCAGGAGGCAGTAAGGAGCTGCAAAGACGTAAAGCAGGGCAGGGCAGCCACCATCTCCAGCTGTCAAGGGGAAGCCGGAGCTAGGACGTCTCTCTCCCTCACACAGGCTGTAGACTCACTCCAGGTGCTGAGGTGTCTAAGGAGGAGTTTTAGTCTCCTATCATCTCCATCAACACTTCCATCTCCCCAACCACTTACTCTTTAAATAAAGCACCAAGTTGAATCTCTAGTACCTTCCTTCCATGCATATCACTGCCCCTAAGCCCCTCCTCTGTCAATATTTAAACTGCCACCATCTGTGCCCTGACTCTCAGTCTGTCTACAAGAGAGGCCAGCCCTTCACAAGTCAGGCCTGGGGAAAGACAAGCCCAGGCACCTCAGGAACCAATACCACCTGGGAGGCAACAGTATCCTTAGCTCCTGTCCGCAGTGCCAGGTCAGCAAAGGGATGCTGGCTGACCAGACACTTAACTTTTAGGAAAAATATTTTTCCCCTCAGTGTCATGAGCTTTTCCTACCCCAGCTAACCTATATCCCACAAGATGAGGTGAAAGATATCCCTGCAGATGCAGATGACAAAATTCAGATAACAGGTAAGTGGATGAGCCCAGGGTTACTGGGTAATTTAGAATTAGAGCTGAGACTGGAATTGGGGTTTCCTAAACACTTAGTGAGGGCTCTTCAACCATTTCATCAGCCAGAGATTGACTGGCATTCCTTTCCAGGGCTGCTTAGACATTTAAAACTCAGAATAATGAAGGTGGGGGGAATCGGAGGAGGAGATGAACCATGAGAGACTATGGACTCTGAGAAACAAACTGAGGGTTCTAGAGGGGAGGGTGGTGAGGGGATGGGTTAGCCTGGTGATGGGTATTAAAGAGGGCATGTATTGAATGGAGCACTGGGTGTTATACACAAACAATGAATCATGGAACACTACATCAAGAACTAATGATGTAATGTATGGTGATTAACATAACATAATAAAAATAAATAAATAAATAAATAAATCTCCTAAAGGAGTAAAATTTCAAAATATCAGGCCACATGGCAGGTGATTCAGGGTAGATTTGACCATAGAATCCTTCCAGAACTCCTCATATCACCCTGTTTGCCAAAGGGCAGCCTAGGATTGAAGGGTGGGGTTATACCAGTAAGTCACCTCTCAGAATTCTCTTCTCCCATCTTCAGGGGCAGAAGTGAATTCTGAAACCTCACCAACTGCTGCTTTTGAGCCTCCAATCCTGCCTTCAAAATAAGATTTATAAGCTTTTGTCCCTTTTACAAAAAGAACTTTTGAAAAGAAGCATCCATTTGCTTTCCCCATTTATTTTTTTAAGATTTTATTTACTTATTTGACAGAGAGACAGCAAGAGAGGGGACACAAGCAGGGGGAGAGGGAAAGAAGCAGGCTTCCCGCTGAGCAGGGAGCCTGATGCGGGGCTCAATCCCAGGACCCCGGGACAATGACCTAAGCCAAAGGCAGATGCTTAATGATTAAGTGACCCAGGCAACCCTGCTTTCTCCATTTATAACAGACTGGTATGTTAGGCAGTGAAAGTGGTCCTTCAGGAGGGGGGTACAAGACTGCAGGGCAGCTTAACATTTGCTATGCTTCTAGTCAGGCACTCCTCTTCTTAAAGATCAAGGAACCAGAGAAGGAATAGAAGACCCAGAGAGGGGATGTGAACTTGCCAGAGACTGAGAATCACCTCTGCTACCCTCAGCTACCCCATGATCTCATCCCAGGTGGCTGGAGGATAGTAATTTAGAAGGTCTGTTCCAGGTTGAAAATGAAACTTACGGGGTACCCTTTTACCAAATGGTCCCATTGGTGCCTCCCTCAGTAGGACCTCATATCACTCTCCTGGCTCCATTAATCAATTGGCTCAGGATAATCATAGGATGTCTTTCAGGCCATGGTCTTAATGAATATCATGACCAAATGTAAGACCTTGGTAACTCATATATTTTACAGCATTTTGGGGTACTTCATCGCAAAGAATAAGCAGGCATGGGAGTTTGGACAGAGTGGCAGACCAGAATGGTGGCAGAGGCAAGGGGGCGTAGACACCTTTTGTCAGAAGACTCTTTAGAAAGCCCTTGCTTCACCCCCAGAAGTGATGGCCTACATATCAGGTGGCTCTTGCAACAATAGGACAAACGGAATATACCTCATTTTTTTGTTCCCTGTAAATGCTAATATGTTTTTCCATTTTGCTCCTCTATAAAATGGAACAAGGAAACCAACCGATGTCTGATAACTTTCCCAGGTCAACAGACATATGTGGCTGAAAGCAGAGATTCAACTTCAAGATGCCCAACTTCAGGGCCCAAAATATTAACCACTATGCTACACTTCTTCTACAGTATAGTGAAAAGAGCCCTGACTGAATTTAGGGTTGGGAGATCTGGGCTCCCAAATGTACAAATTTCTTATTGTGAGACTTTTCTTCCCTTATCCTTTCCCATCTGTAAAATTAAGGGATTGGCCTGGAGACTTCTAAGGCCCCCCAGATTTTTCTGAATTCATGATTCTCACCTGTAAGAACACATACTCAGTTTACTCTTAAATGCCCTTGAAGCTTTTCAAGTAGATGAGCTAGAAACCAGAATAATCAGCTCTTGTAAAGGATAATTAGAACCACTAGCAAGTTAAATGAAGACCTGGTGACTGGCTAAGCATTAGCAAATCACAAAAACAGCTTGGGGATGGAGAGTAGGAAGAGTAAGCAGGTGGTAAGGAAGAAATCTGAAGGATATTAAGATAACTCCCGGAGGAAATAAGGAAAAGCTGTGTGTTCTACTTATGCCCCAACTCCTGAGTTGGGTATACACTGGACCCCCATCACTTGACCCCAACCCATCTTGCCAGGCTCAGAGCCCATGTTCAAGGGAACCTAACTGCTTACCATTATAAACACATTGTATGCTTTCCAACCTCTGTGCCTTTGGTTGAGCCATCTCCTCTACCTAAAATGCCTGCTCAAAGCCTGAATCTCAAATTCAGACTTCTAAAGACCACTTCTTCCATAAAGCTATCCCTAGTCCCTGAACTCCCAAAGCTCTCTGCACGTATCTTATGGAACTCAATACAGACACTTCTAGTTACTCAGGTCTTTTCTTCTTTTTTTTTTTTTTCAATCATCCTTCCTAGAATAACAGAGCCTGAAGTGACAAGTCCTAAATGATTCATCCTAGGGCTAGAACCAAGCCTTGGCCAACAACAATAGTGGACTGACTCATAAGAATGTTCTTTCATCTACTCCTGACTACAAATCCAGGAGGTAGAGGTAGGGACAGACATTTCCTTTGCCTTTCCCCATACCAGGAGGTCTCTGCCTCAGCCTCCCACTTCTTCTCTTCCCCAAAGGCAAAGACCAGAGGATGATCCAATGGTCAGTGTCCCCCCACCCCCCAAAAAAATCGGTGGTTCTTGGGGGCCTAATCTTAAAACAGCTTCAGACACGTTATGGATTCTCCTGTCTCTCTTCCATTTTCTCCTTCCATGAGGTCAAACAGCACAACTAAGCTAAGTGTTCCCTTACAGGGAAGACCAACCTCTCTTTTGCTCCCTTTCCCCCCCTCTTCTACTTTGGGCCATTGGGCTTAGTTATAAATAATTTTTGTTTGCATTCTGCTAATGTTTCTGGTAGCACTACTCTGGGGAGAAGAAAGTAGAGCAATGGGAAAGTGGAGGTCCACCAAGGGGAGATAAAGTGATTGTCCATGTGGGATGCAGACATTCTTGTGTTCTATGTCTATGATGACACCAAAATACCATCAAAATTTCAATTGGTATTTTTATCCCCATTTATAAGTAAGCAAACTGAGACTCAGAAAAATTAGGTAGCTTATACAAAATGCACTATTTCTTAAGTAGGCTCTATACCCAGTGTGGAGCCCAACATGGGGCCTGAACTCATGACCCCAAGATCAAGACCTGAGATGAGATCAAGAATCAGATGCTTGACCAACTGAACAACCCAGGCATCCCCAAAAAATTGCACTATTAATAAGAGGCAGAAAAGATATTCCAAACCCAGACCAGATTCTCAGCCTACTATAATTAACAACAAGGGCAGCCTGGTCTTTGGTAAACAGCACATCATGTAATTTTCCACAGTTCTGTCTCCCAGACTCCCTCAGGGTCTCAGTTTGTACCTCTAGCCACTTAAGCTTTCCAGCCTCCTTTCCTTCCAGTTTTTCCATGGGCATACCCTCCAAACACCGACATAGAGCCTGGGAGGAGTGGCACCCTGGAAGACATGATGACATTGGCTTAGCTCTAATTACAGCTCCAACAGCCTGTGTTATGCCTAGTAGACAAACCATACCAGAAGCACATTAATTTCTGCCCCAGCTGGCTCCCACCATGGGAAGACTTACATTGCCATGCTCAAAGGGGCTCTGCCTGAACCCCTGATGTGGGAGGGATGCACCCAGCCCTGCCTCTCTTCTTATTTTTAATTAGAAGTTCCATTAAAACCACTACAGCAATGAGGCACACACCAGGCAACATACTTCAGGACAATTAGCACACTCCTCAGGGGGCTAAAATGGCCTCAGCCTTGGTCTGGGCAACATAATTGCACCAAAACATACAGCCTACAAGGAGGCTCCCATTTTAAGTGGAAAGAAACAATTAGTCACACAATCTATCAGGCAGTTAGATCTGTAGGAAATTATTCAATATACATAATTTAAAAGTTTGCCAGGGGTTGAGATATATGGAAATTATTACTTGCCTATGGCTTGGTACATCCATAAGCAAACCACTATCCCCATCCACACCCACCCCATACTATTAATGCTCTATGTCTCTGTGTGTAGATACCCACCAAGTAAAGATACTAGTTGTAATTATGTGTCTGGATCACTGTAAACAGTATTTCATTCCTAAAATGTGGGAAATAATCAGTGGGGCAGAGAGGTTATGGAACCCCCATCTACCTCACTGCTACTTTCTGAATCCCCAAACCACTAATTAAAACCTGCCCCTAAGATAGCTCCTGGCCAAGTCATCCTGGTGATTCTGAGAAGTAAATAAAAAGAGCAAATTAGAAGGCCAGAAAGACCTCTCTGAACACCAGGAAAGCTGCAGAAAACCACCCGAGGCTTCCTGGACTCTGTTTGAAGCCATACTCCTGGATTCCACATGCAGAAGCATCTTGTCTGCATTTGATCATCCCTCTCTAGCACTCATTGCTTAACCGTTGTACC